ACTAAAGTATCGCATTATCTCAAATGGATTGAAAAGACCATTAAAGCCAACTCAGGCCAGGCCTGTACGGCTCGGGAGCTCAAGACCGAAGTGCCCGCCGGCGATAGTAAGGTAGAGGAATCAGTTGCCGGTCAGACCACTACCGCCGAAGCTATTCAATCTTCCAATAGGTATTTGGTCCGGAAACTTCTTTAAGAGTTGTTCCGAAACTTAAGCTGTTTTTAGAAATTTATGTAAAAATGTTTTTATTTATACCAAATTTATGTTTTAATAAGAGTTTACGAATAAATAATTTAAAGAAATTATAATTTACAACAAATATAAATCAATATTGTTTACAAACCTGTGCCACGTACAGTAGTTTAATCATGGTCCATCTAATTACAAGTATTTTGAAAAGTCTACAAAAACTATTATTTGAATTGTGTTTAAATGAATTTATTTGATTTATTTTAAGTATATATAATTTTAATTAAATAACATATTAATGCATTCATAGAAAGATAATTTAACAATAGTTCCCAAAAATGTGATCAATTGGCGGGAGTAGTGTCTGGAGTATTGGCGGGAGTATTGTCTGGAGGTTTATCACCATTACTCTCACTACTGGAGGTGTCTTTGTTTTTCCAGTCAACGTCTGGTACGGAGACATCTTTGATGCCGGTCTGATCCCAACATTTAAAACATATGTTTTATTTAACAAAAAAATCTCTACGAATATTAAACAAACTTACGTTCTCTCTGTAACACTTGCAGAGGTAATACATGGCCACAACAGGTATGGGCAACACTTGAACCACGATTACTGTCCACCCAAACAGCACTGTCCACGTCGGGTATATATAGTCCCTGTATTCCGGCGCCTTTGTTGTCCATAAGGTTGCTATCAGTAGGAACTAAAACATGATTTGTAATTAAAGTCACAATTAAGTGGTTATAGTTTTGGGAAATTACAATCAAAGCGATTGGTGTCACATATTTCCAGACAATCTTCCAGAAGAGTCGGGGAGTCGGAGGGTTTCCCGCCATTTCCGTCATGTGGTCCATGAACTTATCGATACCGTAGACCCACGCGATGGACACCACTTCCACCAAACCGACGATCATCGCCGAAGTGGAGGCCACGAAATCGTTGAATATTGTGAACCAATAATAACCGGCCGATGGGGTGAAGGAAAGAGAGAGAAATAATTTTATAAATGACTGTAAAATATTGTAAAACAATGAATACTGTATTGCAATAAATGAGTCCCAATAGGAAACCAATGATACAGAACTGGAGAAGAATAAAGAGCCGGTATTTGCGGCGATCGGGTCTGAAGTCGAGGACAGCGGACAACAGACTCTCGATGTTTGGCGTTTGCGAACCCATACCCAGAAGAATGAGCATAAAGAAGAAGACGGCCGAAAAGAGCTGACCCCATGGGAACATTGCCACCGCTTCCGGATACATCATAAACGCCAGACCCGACCCCCCAGTGGCCACTTTGTCCACATCCACTTGGCGTACGTGTGCGACGGCACCCATGTATGCAAATATCACAAAACCCGCCGCAATGCTTGTCATACTATACAGTATATCGTAATTGTTATTAAAGTGAATTTGTATTTTATTTATCGCATACCTGTTCCCAAATGCTATAATCGTCGCGTCGAGTATCAAATGGTTTTCAAAGTTATTATAACTGCTGAGTGTTATCATTGTTCCCCACGATATACCTAACAAATAATTAACCTTAAGATTAGTCTCTCTCTCTCTCTCTCTCTCTCTCTCTCCATTGACTCTCTTTTAATTTCACTTTCTTTTGGCCAAATTATTTGTCTCCATTAAACTCATCGCTGTAACAATTGTTTGTATTTTTTATAACTTTCTTATGTTTTGTGAAGTTTTTCTTTTCTTGTTTTANCTCTCTCTCTCTCTCTCTCTCTCTCTCTCGAGTAAATAATGTAATACTTAAGGAGAAGAAGATCTGTTGACTGGCGTCAATCCAAACGCCGCTTTCAAAGAGTTTAGTCCAACGGGGAGTTATGTAAAAGGAGATGCCATTCCACGCCCCCTCCAGTGTTATACCCCTTATAAACAATATCGTCAAACAAACGTATGGAAAAAGTGTAGTAAAGTATGAGATCTATTAAACAAATCAAAGACAACAAGTTATCCAAAACCAAATCAATTTGCAAACAAATTTGATTGATATGTTGGAAATGACTTACTTTTCCAATGCCTTTAACGCCTCGCGAAACCGAGAGGAAGACCATAAGCCACGCCATAAAGAGACAAAAGACTAGATCCCACTGCAAGTCATCGACGTCTGCGATGTCTTCGTTGATTGCGAGCACTTCTTCGTGAAAGTATTCATCGCTCGGACTCTTCAGACCACTGATGTTCCCGACCTGTCCTTCGGTACAGTTCCCAGTATTCCACGTGTGGTCTGTGAAAGAAAGACAAAGTATTTTTCAAATTAAATTATCAATTATATGGTTATATTTGCATCTCATATGACTGACTGCATCGCTTCCACGGCAAGTCAGGGAAGGTGAATGAGGCTAAGAAGTAGCGCAGAGACCAACCGACCAGCATATTGTAGTACACGGCCTGAACGGCAACCATTATAAACCTATTCGGTATAAATTGTGATTAAATTAGTTATAATTACACGTATTTTGCAACAAAACATACATAGAAATGCCTATCCCTTGAAATATTGGCATAAATCTGGTGTTTGTGTATAAAAGAGGTAATCATTAAATGGTTTTTATTTAACTCTTAATTCATTTAAGACTTACTGCCAAACACTGACTTTGCCCTTCGCTAAACAGTAGAAATCAAGAAAATGTAATTTTTAAATAAAATTAATGCAAAATCAAGTGAAAATAACCGGAATATTGTCCTAAAGTCATCTCAATGACCATAAGAGGGAATCCAATAAATCCTAGACTCAAGAAGTATGGGATTAGGAAAGCGCCTGAATATTAAATATAATTTCAAATGACAATTGAATTAGAATTAATTTAATGGAAAATAACGGTAAATTGTGTTGAGACAATACCTCCGCCATTCTTATAGCAAATGTATGGAAATCTCCAGATATTGCCTGAAAAGTGAGTGACATTTAAACATTTTGATTAGAAATTTGCTGTAAAAATAGTTTTAAAGTTATAAATGCAATGTTTTATTGATTACCGAAACCGATAACATAGGAAAGACATGTCAACAGGAACTCCAGTTTTGTTCCCCATTTCTCCTTCTTGTGCTCATTCTTGGGCTCATTCTTGGGCTCATTCTTGGGCTCATTCTTGGGCTCATTCTTGGGCTCATTCTTGGGCTCATTCTTGGGCTCATTCTTGGGCTTCTTGTCGACAGTGGTCTCAGTGTTCGTATCCATTGATTTGTGTCACAATTTCTATCTCTTTAAATGCAATCAATAGTTTTAACGAAATTATAATTTCAATTGATTTCAACTGAAATATAAATTGTGTGTAACTTTTGAAATGTAAAGTGAATGTAAATGTAATTTATATTCACGAGATGATTGAAAAACGATTATAACATTTTGATTATTAAAAACAGATTTAATTTTCTAAACATTTTAAATCAATAATTGGATAATTTTACACTTTTTTCAAAACAATAGAAACACGTTTTCAACGGCTGATGAAAATCTATATGAAAAACAAATCAAAGGTCTTTTCAAATCACAAAAAAGTAATTTCAAAACTCAGGCAGTTTTGGGCATCAAATTTGTTTTGGCATTTAATTACATACATTTAATTGTAATTTAATTTTACTTAACTTTTAACTCAAAATATATTAAAACAGCAAAAGAATAAATGAAATGTTAAATGAATCAATAATTATAATGTATAAAAAACAGTGGCATAAATAGTAAGACATTAATACAATTAATCACTACTAAACGTGATAAAACTTAAGGCCAACTCTAAGTCGTCGATCAATTCGGTGGAAGTGGTGGTAAACAAAGCCTTTAAATCAGTCATAAATTTGGGTAATTTGCGAAAAACGGCCAAATCTTCGATGAGTGCCGACATGTCTGTGTCGGTCATCTCGCGGTCAAACAACTCGTAGAACTCGATCGGCCACTGGTCTTGAGAATAGGTGGCGAACAGATCACAACTGATTCCTCTACCTTACTATCGCCGGCGGGCACTTCGGTCTTGAGCTCCCGAGCCGTACAGGCCTGGCCTGAGTTGGCTTTAATGGTCTTTTCAATCCATTTGAGATAATGCGATACTTTAGTATAGATAGCGTTGGGAGTCTTGGCGTTGGCGCACTCGCCCGGACCGAACGACACTATACCCACTTCGGTCATACGCTGGACACCGCGGTTGTCACCCATGGCTATGATCAACGGCCCGCCGCTATCGCCCTGACACGGGGCCGTCCGGTCCACGCCCTGGCATATCATGGAGTCCGATATGGGCACTGGATATGGGTATTGGCGGCACTTGTCGTTACTCAAAATGGACACATCGGTGTACATGAGAACGTCCGAAGGGGTGCCCCTGTCTTTGGTGAGACCCCAGCCGGCGATCCGACCCTTTCCGCTGTAATCAGACATCGGTGTCGACGGCAAACAGACTCCGTTGACGTGTCCGCCCTTTTCGTGGTTGATGTCAATGGGATTGGCGGCCGGTATGCGCAACAGCGCGATGTCGTGTTTGAACTTCCCGTACTGTCCGGACCAGCCCTCGTGTTGGACCACACAGTCGGCCGTCCGCTGTTGGGAACCGGCGGCCATTTGAAGTCGATTGTGAATACCGGCCGTCACGTCCACGCGCTGTGCAGTCGGCTGTCCGTTGCGTTCGTTACTCACACAATGAGCTGCGGTTAGTATCCATCTGATGGACAGGTATGCAAACAATTGGCGTAAATAAGTAATTGATTGATACATTATTAGATTAACGATTGAGAACAGACCTGGAGTTAAGTATAGCGCCGCCGCACTGCATGGGTCCCCGGGCTGTGTGTATCTTAAGTATTGTCTGCCACGGAAACTCACCCCCTTTGGCCACTTTGCCCAACACTATCTTATTGCCGATGAAGACCTGCGGGATGTGACTCAAGCCACAGGACTTAACGGTAATGCCGAGCGGTTCGTTGGTATGATTGGCCGCCGGAGTCGTTGGTGGTCTTACAGTGGTTGTGGTGGTAGTCCTGACAGTGCCGGTGGTGGGAACCGGTGAAAGTGTGGATGGATTTTGATTTACTGGTCTAATAGTTGGCGGCGATTGCGTTACTTTGGCTGTACTGCCAACAGTAGGTATGGGCGGGTATAATGTGGTCGGGTTTTGTATGACAATCGCCGGTTTGTGGGTCGGCGGCCACCACGGGTTGACTGTCGTAGGTTTGTGTCCATGCGATGGCATTTGTGGCGGCAATTGGGGCGGCGGTGGCGACGGTTTCTGCCACTGACCCGAAGGCCACTGGCTTTGGTTCCAAGTGGTGGCCGGGAATTGGCTGCCATTCCATTGGGTGGACGGCCACTGATTTTGGTCCCACTCGGCGATTGGCCACTGATTCCACTGCTCCCGGTGTCGGTGCGCCCGATCACTGACTGCTGATTCCGGAGCCGTGCGCTCACTGTATGCGAGACCACAATAGGCTAATACTGTGCACAAAATACATAAGTAAGTCATAATTTTATAATTAATTACAATTATGATATCAAACGCTGTTTCCTATAAATTATGATAAAAAATAGTTTGAAAATTTGGTCAAACTTTTTATATACCGGTGCTATTAATGCCATCGCTCTGTCAGTGCTTACCCTAAATGATGTCAATGATTATAGACTCGTACTAACAGTACCAGCATTTCAGTTGTCAAGCAATCAATATGTTTGACAAATAGACAGACATTTATATAACAATAATGTTATCAATAAATTGTATTATTATTAAAACATTTATTATTAGCGATTGAATTATTATAAACAGTGATTGAATTTGCATTGAGTTCTCATTTGATGTGATAAATGAATGAATGGGGGAATCATATAATGTGTTGTTATTTCCGATACTAAACCTCATATCCCTTAAAACCTCATTAAATATTTAATTAGTTTTTTGTTAAATTTAATAGATTAGGACACAAAGGATTGATAACTTTATGCAGTATTAACGGCAAAATCATAGAAATACTAATTTATTGTAATGCTTTTGCTTTAAACTTAACAATTAAGTAATGAAAATGCATTTAGAGAGCAATGAAATAGAAAATAAATGGTTTTTCTCATGAACTTCATCTCAAGTTAAGATTTTCATTATTTTAAGTAATTTTCTTATAATAGAGTCAACTCAAGCATTCAATGTATAGTTCAAGAGGGGAGAGAGAGAGAGAAAGAGAGAGAGAGAGAGAGAATAAATGATGTCAATGATTATAGACTCGTACTAACAGTACCAGCATTTCAGTTGTCAAGCAATCAATATGTTTGACAAATAGACAGACATTTATATAACAATAATGTTATCAATAAATTGTATTATTAAAACATTTATTATTAGCGATTGAATTATTATAAACAGATAAATAGTGATTGAATTTGCATTGAGTTCTCATTTGATGTGATAAATGATTGAATGGGGGAATCATATAATGTGTTGTTATTTCCGATACTAAACCTCATATCCTTTAAAACCTCATTAAATATTTAATTAGTTTTTTGTTAAATTTTATAGATTAGGACACAAAGGATTGATAACTTTATGCAATATTAACGGCAAAATCATAAAAATACTAATTTATTGCAATTCTTTTGCTTTAAACTTTACAATTAAGTAATGAAAATGCATTTAGAAAGCAGTGAAATAGAAAATAAATGGTTTTTCTCATGAACTTCAATCTCAATTTAAGAATTTCATTATTTTAAGTAGCGTTAGCCAGACTACCAACCATGGTCGTTCTTGAATTATTACAAATGGTTAATATCATAATATTTTTAAGTAATTTTCTTTTCTAGAGTTAACTCAAGCATTCAATATATAGTTAGAGAGATAGATAGATAGAGAGAGAGAGAGAGAGAGAGAGAGAGAGAGAGAGAGAGAGAGAGA